GGAAGTTTGGCACTTAGAAATTACTTTGACATATTCCTCCTATATTCACCACTTTAAACGCATATTGCTTACCGTTTACTGTAAAGCTGCTTTGACACAATCTGTATTGTTAAAAGCGCGATATAAATAAAGGGGACTTGACTTCTCTTTTTTCCTAAAGCCACTGGGTGGCGGTGAGCCCGGGTGCGCGAGGGCCCTTTCAACGCTGCTTGCAGCTTTAATTTTAAATTTGGACTGCAGTACCCATTTCAAGCACTTATATTCTGCACCTTTAAAATAATTTCAAATCAACAAATGTCCCCGCTCTGTTCAGCTCGATTTTTGGATTAGCGTGGATTGTGCGCAGACCACAGCACATGTGCAAGTCGTTTGTAAACCTCATAAACAAGAAATGTGCACGTGCTGAATGCATTCACTTCAGCGTTTGCGCTCAACTGTGTGCTAGGCTGAGCAGAACGCAGGAAATTAATGAACGAATCTTATTTAATCCTAAAAATAAATCAATTGCTGTAGGATTTTGAAAAATTGTAAACGACTATTTTCTCATTTTTAGTGACATTTAAGTCAGAAATTTGTGTCGTTTTTGCCATTTTCAGGTGTTGTTTCACTTATTTACACACAACGTATTTCTGATTCTAATATAGCCTATTTAAATATCCTAAAACATGTGTTAAATATCCTAAAACATTTGCTTTGTTTAAAACAATTATATACTGCTTTGGCCAGCGGAAAAGAAAGAGATCCGATCTATTCTAAAAGGATTCTCTGAGAAGTATTTCATACAATTTTGTTTTTACATTCATTTTGATACATTTATCCGAAAATATATATTATAAATTAATGAACGAATCTTATTTAATCCTAAAAATAAATAAATTGCTGTAGGATTTAGAAAAATTGTAAACAACGACTATTTTCGAATTTTTAGTGACATTTAATCAGAAATTTGTGTCATTCATTCAACTTTTCAATCTAATTGTTACGCAAATGGTATAATTTTGCAATGTATTCAACTTGAAACATAATTTTGCACCCCACTGAATAAGAATATAACAAACACAGTAATGACTCATCTTTCTCTATCTCATGTGGACACTTCTTGCGGCCCCTGCTGTTTTGACCCCTCTGACCCCTGAATGTAATATTATGGGCTGTTATCTGCTCCTTGCAGTAGGGCTTGAGTGAGTCACTGCCTTTTCAGGGATCATGTCTCAAGATCAGTCTGAAGTGAGTGACCCTATGCACCTGAAGAGCTTTACTGCTCCTCACAGCACAAACAGTAACACTGTATGGAGGACGGAGACTCAACAAGACAATGTTGTAGGTAAGAAACTGTCTTAAATTTCTTTCAAGTACGAGTAAATCTCAAAGATGAGTGTACAAGCTGTGTGTACATTTTGCTACAGATTGATGCCAGTGGAGACCGGGGCTAGTTGTCACGTGGGTTATATATGTAACTGTAATGTTTTCAGTTTCATAAATTTGATCTGTCATGTGTAGTTCAAAACTGTTGCAAATTAGGATGATTTTTGGGAATTCCTTCCTACAAACTATATCTTAAATTGCATCATAGTATTGCAAAAGCAGACGGAAACCACAAAAATGACCACAAAAAAAACCAACTGCGTAATAAAGAATAAAGAAAAAATTGCAGAACAAAACAATGGGTTCATATTTTACCTTTTACATTTTTGTTGTTTTGATTGTTTTATGTTTTGTAATTTATTTGCTGAAAAGCCTGTAATAAGCTGTTTAATGGCATAATGTGCATTATGACAAGCCTTATAAATGTTTAGTAGTCAAGACCCTGAGAAATATTCACGAAAATGAATCAGTTAATTTTTACAAAACAAACTTTTGAATCTAAAATTTGATTATAATATAGCATGAGGAGAGATTTACAAGCAGTTTTTAAAAGGCCGGTATTTTTTGACTGGGAACACCAAATTGGATAAAGGATTTTCAGCACAGCACGAGGTTTTAGATTTGACTAATATTACCTGATTTTTGATGTGTTCTAATTAGGGTTGCAAAAAGGTGGAAAATTTCCAGTACATTTCGGAAACGTTCCAGAAATTTGGGAAAGTTTCCAGGATTTTTTTTTAATATTCCTGGAATTTTTGAAAAGTTTCCGGAAATTTACTGGACATTTTCCACCCCTTTGCACCCCTAGTTCTAATTGGGTGAATGTAATTTGGGTCAATTTGACAAGATTTTATTTAGATTTTAAACAATACAAAGGGGTCAAGCTGGTTTTTCAAACCTCTATAATATTATATGGTATATTAATTGACTTATAAAGGAATGAATTGATTGATGTTCACTTTGTCTTTTTATTTCCACAGAGCGTCACGTGAAGCCGCTTAATGTGACACCGACTTACTGTAAGACCAGGACCCTGCAGTGCACCGTTTGTGATAAGTACAAAAAGACTCTGGTGCAGAGCAACAAACTAACCAACGAAGATCTTCATTTGAAGGCTGTGACACTGAGTGCAGAAACCATTCAATACAAAGGTAAATCTTCAACACGAGCTTTCACATGTAAATGCATGACTTCAGAAATGTCCTGTTGACGTTACCCCCTACACATTTTCTGCTGCTTTCAGTGCGATTCAGTATGTCAACGTACGTATCGAGTGCCCCACAAAATAACGGCCAGCCTGTGTGCCTGGGAATTTCCAACAGCAACCTCTACATTGCTTGTACCCAGTCTGGTGGTTCTTCCCCCGTCCTGCTCTTGAAGGTTCGTGCACCACAAACACATTAACCTTCCCCAAAAACTGTTTTCCACATTGTAAAATGAGGATTTAAAGCCCTTTTAATTGTTTTAGGAGGTCAGTGGCCCTCTGAACACCATTAAAGCCGGTGATCCGAACGGGTATGACAGCCTCCTATTCTTCAAGAAAGAGACCGGCACGGCTTACAACACTTTTGAATCTGTTAAATATCCTGGATGGTTTATTACCACAGCTTTTGATGACTGGAAGAGGGTGGAAATGTACCAGGTGCCAACTGACCGAACCGCAAACTTCACACTTGAGGATCAACAAGTAATCCTGAGTTAAGAAGCAGATTTGATCCATAAACACATTTCCAGAGAGTATGTACCATGTACAGTTTATAATCTGGATTTATTCAAACATGTTCACAAACCTGTATGAGTTTATCTGTCTGTGTTTTGTTTTTTTTCTCGATTATATGTGTACGGTTTGTGTTGGGAACGGTAAATTCATGTTGAATTCATTAAGTATGAACATTTGCCTATGTGCTTAATTTAATTTTTTATTACATTTAATATTTATTTTAAATAATTTTTAAATCAAACTTGTTTTACACTGTACTGATTTCTTTTTAATCTTATATTAAAATAAACCTAATATATGGATGTTACTTGGTGTTGTGTAGTTGATTAACTACAAGATTATTATTATTATTACAAGATTTCTATTAAGATTATTATATAAAGTGACCAGAATACCAAAGTGCACTAAGAAATAAGTCACTGCACAAAAAGAAAAAGCAAACTCTTATCAGCAGTGAGCCAAAATCCTCACAATTAAAAGAACCAAAGACTTAAACTACTTCAGTCTGTGTGCATTGAATTTATTTAATACACGAGTTTCACAATTTGAGTTGAATTACTGAAATAAATGAACTTTTCCACGACATTCTAATTTATTGAGATGCACCTGTATCAGGTCACAGCTCCTCTCGCTGTACTTTCTCTGGTCTCGATGCAGAAAATAAGACATGAGCGCCTCCATGCGGTAGAACATTTCACCGCATACAGACTTACATAAAAAACATAAGCCTCCTCTGTGTTGAATATTAAGTGTGTATGCTGTCTGTTACAGTTTTCCTCTTGGTTCATAATGTGACCAAAATCTCAATGATCTTTAAACCCTTTATATCAGACAAATTAAAGCAAACCATGATGTGACAGATTTATAAGCCTTTCAAATAGAGCACATCAAATGTCAACTTATTTAATTAAATATATAGTCATATGTAGGCTTATGGCAATACTTGTTAACAATAACATTTAAATAAGCAACGTTTTAACAGTATTTTCTTTTAACAAAGAAAAAAGCATGTATTTTAAAAATGTACATTGAAATTGGTTAAACTATTTTGATGGGTTGCCATGATGACTTAATGATTATATCATCATTGGGTCAATTAAACACTGCAAATAATGATATCCAACATGTAAGATACTAATAAAAACATACTATGCTATTACCATGTTGTTGGGGGTGATTTTAGACATGTACTATGATATACCATCTTTGAAGATCCTTGGATGTAAATTAATATAAATATGGAGCACAATGTTATATGAACACATATGAATGTATTGCCTTCTGATACAATCGCTGTACTACAGCAGCTACTGCTCTTTGTAAGGGGAGCCACCAGATGGCATTTGCTGGGTTCTTTACAGCAGAGGTTTTTCCCAGTTGTTTGCACATTTCCCTGAACAGATACTGATGACTGATGATTGACTTAAAATCAAAGCCATGAATGACAGATACCAGTGCTACAGATTTTTCATATGGACTGCTTGACATGTGAGCTTTATTACATTTTATGGTACAAGGAATAGTTCACCCAAAAATAAAAAAATGTGCTGAAAATTAACACCCTTAGACCATCCAAGATGCAGAGGAGTTTGTCTTCATCTGAACAGATTTGGAGACATTTAGCATAATACAAATTGCTCACCAATGGTCTCTGAAGTGAATGGGTGCCGTCAGAATGAGAGTCCAAACAGCTGATAAAAACATCACAGTAATACACAAGTAATCCACACCACTCCATTCTAACAATTAACGTCTTGTGAAGTTAAAAACTGTGTGTGATTCATCATTAATGCGTTTAAACTTTAAACCATCACTTCTGGCCAAAAAACTATAGGCTAATCTAACACTTCCTCCAGTGGACAAAAAATTCCATCCACTGTCGTCCCCTCACATCAAATGCCACCAACATTAACTATTTTCGCTTGTTAACGGTGATCTGTGCATATTTCTCTCCTGATTCAGACGAGACAACTTTTTCACTGCAGAAAGCAATATATGGATAGAGGACTCTTATTTTAGCCAGAGGCAAGAATTTGAAGTTTAAAAAAATGTGATTCTTCATAAGATTTAAGATAGAATGAAGTGGTGTGGATTATTGTGATGTTTTTATCAGCTGTTTGGACTCTCATTCTGACGGCACCCATTCACTGCAGAACATCCATTGGTGAGCAAGTGACGTAATACTTAATTTCTCCAAATCTGTTCTGATGAAGAAACAAACTCGTCTACATCTTGGATGACCTGAGGTGAGTACATTTTCATTTTTCATTTCATTTCATTTTTCAGCAAATGTTCATTTTTTGGTGAGCTATTCCTTTAAAGGCAATCTTATCACATATTATAAATGTCAATTAGTCAATTAGTATTTACAGCTCAGATGACTGCATCAAAAGGTTCTGTGGTTTCATGAGCCAAGCTTTAAATCACATGCCAAACAGGGTGTTTATCCCAAATGTAAAAGGATTCCTCCCACACACCGCCCTCCATTGTAAGTATCTGGTGAAACAACCCGATTCCTATTTCACACAGAAGCTGCATTGAATTGCACAAGCCGAACCCATGCATACAAAAGACAGAGTGTCATAAAAGATGTTTCAGGTCATTCTGTGTTGTCTGAGCCGCCGATTGCATAAAAAAACAAGAGTGCAAACATGCCATTTTTGTGTTTTTGCATTATTATTTTCAAAGGATTGACATTCATAATATGGCTCCATCTATATCGGAGGCATTTATTTAAAATTATGTGAGAAGAAGTGTGTAATATTTGTGCACGCGCCATCCTCCCCCCGGCCGTTTGCACGCTCACATGCGCACGCTGCAGAATGTATGTCTCACATTCCGGGCACATGGCAACACCAGCTAAATATAGCCTGCCAGCCCAGCAGCACGCTGGGATCAGCGTTTCTTCCTGCGACAGCAGAATCCCCATCACGTAACGCCCCCTCCCTCCTCCTCTTTACGCTGTCCTCTTATCTGCTCGTGAGTTCACTTCTCACCAGGGAACTCGAGCTGGTTGCCAAAGGCAGCAGTTCATTACAGAGTCAAACGGTGTGTGCTGCTCTGAAATAACATATATGTATACAGTTGTGCTCATAAGTTTACATAACCGCTTGCAGAATATGCAAAATGTTAATAATTGAAACAAAATAAGAGGGATCATGAAAATTGCATGTTATTTTCATTTAGTACTGTCCTGAATAAGCCATTTCACATAACAGATGTTTACGTATACTCCACAAGACAAAATAATAACTGAATTTATAAAACCATAAATTTTCATAACTTGAAATATTGAATCAAATTCATTATAAACAAAAAAAAATCTTATTTTAGATAGTTGCCATCAACTAAAAATAAATAAATAAAATGAATAACTACTTTAAATAAACTTTAAATCATTACATCTCAGCTGGTTAATTGAAATAAAATAAACATGAATTGAAATAAATATATTTTCAGCCAGTTGCCTGGCAGCATCTCTTACAACATTTCTCACATTTCTTACATAAAGTAACTAAAACTAAATCATCTAAAAACTAAAACTTAATCAAAGCTGTATAGACATAAGCTAATAACAGAAGATATCAAATTAAATAAAAATACAAAATAACAAAATATGAAAAATTAAAATAAATAGTATACCAATGAATAACACTTAATAATAAACTCATTATTAATTAACCTAAAAAAATTTCAGCTTGTTTTCCTGTGAGCTGTACCATCAAATTAGCTTGGATAAAAGTGTCTGCTAAATGAATAATTACATTTGAATCATCAACGTAATCATAAGTCAAAAGCATTATTAATCTTGAACAGGACAAAGTAGTTTAACTATGCACCACCATAAAGTCTTGCCAACAAGACATATTTGCATTTTATTCATTCAGAGAAAAACCTAAGCCCGAAAATTTGAATATTATGGCTTTTTGCTCTTATGACGTCATATGACCCCCACCCACCCTGACCTAAATCAGAATAATGACGGACCGTCCAGTTGCGGGTCTAAATTTGGTCCACATTTAATGCTTAGAGACAGCGCCGACTCTTCGTGACCAATGAATGCTCGTGTGATCACAGCAGGAGCTCAGTGCATTTCAAATAATCCGGGCCTGATCTGGCAGAGACCTCAGCGTGGCATTGCGTCCCGGTCTGCAGTGCCACCCTGTCTGTCTAATTCCACGGGTGTGGCGGGGCCACTTTCTAAGCGTCAGTCGGGACACGGCGCATATTCGTACCTGGTATCCCCTGTAGTCTTTAAAGAGGGTGACTTACATTCCCCTGGGCTCCTGTGAGAATGACTGTGATGACAGTGACATTCACCAAATGGGCCGCAGGCATCTGTGTGGCTGGAGATGCTGCAATGTAGGTAAATTACATATTGTCACACTGCAATTTTTACATCATCGTTACAACATACCTTATCACGCACTGACTCATTTTTTAGGTTATGCAAGTCACGTAAATTTTACTTTTACTTAACGCTCAAAAGTTTGGGGTTAGTAAGATGTTTTTTTTATATACTTTTATTCAGCAAGGATATTAAATTGAGCAAAAGTGACAGTAAGACAATGTTACAGAATATGTCTGTTTCATTTAGATGCTATTCTTTTGAAGAATCCTGAACAAAAATGCATCAGTTTCCACATAATATATTAAGCAGCACAACTGTTTTCAACATTGATAACAATAAGAAATATTTCTTCAGCAGTAAATCAGCATATTAGAATGATTTCTGAAGGATCATGTGACACTGAAGACAGGAGTAATGATGCTGGAAATTCAGCTTTGCATCACAGGAATAAATTATATTTTAAATTATATTAAAATAGAAAACATTTTAAATGGTACTAATATTTCACAATATTACCGTACTTTTGAGAAGAGACTTACTGACACCAAATGTTTGAACAGTATATTATGTGGCATATTAACAATAAAAAAAGATATTTCACTTAAAAGAAATAACGTACAGTGGAATGGCTTTAGTGGCTGAAAGTCTATTTCACCTTCAAAAACAAAAATGTAACCCAAAATCTACAGTTATTTGCTTTTATTGCACTAACAGTAACTTTTATTATTACATTAGCTGACATTAAATTGCAATTAATTACTGCATTAACTATTTGCAAGATATTAGACAAACACCAGCTGAAGAGCTATAGTTAATGTGTTAATATTCACCCAAAGTCTGTGTGGACATTAACCAAGAAATGTTATTTCAGAAGTAAAGCTTTTTTTTCTTCTTT